TAAGAGAGTTCTCTGGAATGGCATGGTTAGAGGAATTTGAGCTTCCTGTGGGGTGAAGGGTAGAGATGGGTAATGAGTAGAGACTTATAAAAAATATACAACCTTCAGATTCTGAAATAAAAGCAAAACTCCAACGTGTCTTTTCACCTCTAGAAAAGATCGTGCCCTGGACTATCGTAACAGCCTCTGAACTGCTGCTGCCTCCAGCCTCTCCCCTCCAGTCCTTACCCTGCTCTGCGACTGCTTTGCTGTAGGAGTGACTTTCCGAAAGTGTGACTCCAGCCAGGTCCCTACTGAGATAGTCCTCAACCTCTCCGTTAGCTCAGGGCCTGGCCCCTCCGTCTCGTCACTCACTGTAGAGTCCCTGGGGTACCTTCCTGGCACAATTCGCCTCTCAAAAGCAGGAGTTGAACTGACTATCAAACGTACAGCGTTGTGTATCTGTATTTTCATAGTGGAAGTATACAGTTCCACTATACAGTTCCATAGTTCCACTATACAGGTGCAAAGGCCTTGTGGCGGGAATAAACTTAGCATGTTTTAAAAAACATCAAGAGGCCTCTGTTAATGATATCTGGCATCTAAGCTTGGATATCAGCTCATCACTGTCTACTTGTGTGACCTGCACCTGGACACGTCATTTCAATACAGCTCCAGTTTCCTCATCTGTAAAAGGAGGGTAGTGCCTTGAATATTATTGTAAGGATTAAATGTGATAATGTAAGTAGACCACTTAGCACTAGTAAGAGCTTAATTTGTTCCTGCAAGCAACAAATAGACACTGTGTGCCTACCGGACATAGGGACTGTTCTAGGAGTGGGAAATAAAGTAAAATCCCAATGGATTTCACACTTTAGTAGGAAAGACTGACAGTAAAGGAGCTGTGAATATTGAAACTACACAGGTATACACACTCACACAGTGCACACACGTACACGCAATATGCACATACAGACATGTAATTTCAGATTGCGATAAGTGCTATGAAGAAAAATAAAGCAAGAAAAGGTGGTAGAAAAGAAAGCGATTTGGCAGTTGGTGCGCTCATGGTTGGGAGTGGTCAGGAAGGGCCTTGCTAAGGCAATAGCATTTGAGGTACAGACCTGAATGAAATCAGGAAATGGCATACAGTGGTAATAAATATTTGTTGAATGTGGATGAATGCAAAGATCTGGGAGAAAAGCGTTCCAGAAAGGGGCAGTAAGAAGTGCAAAGGCCCTGCGGCAGGAAAAAACTTGACATATTTTAAAAGGACCAAGAAGGCTTTGTGAATATTTATGCTGGAGTGTTTAGGGTTAAAGTGTACTGCTGTCTACAACTTAATTTAAAATTCATTAAAAAGGAAGATGGACAGATGGATGGTTAGAAAGAGGGATGGATCACTATAGCTAGTATATAGATAAAGCTAGTATAGTAAAAATGTTGGTAGTAAAATTTAGGTGGTGGGTATATACATATTCACTGCAAAATTCTTTCATATTTACTTGGTGTGTGAAAGATGTCACAATACGACGATGGAGGAAAAACAGCAAGAAGGCTAATGAGACAAGGGGCCAAGAGCAGGGAGGGCCCCACGAGCCATGGGAGGACACTGGGTTTTATTCTAAGCACAATGGGAAGCCTTTGGAGGTTTTGAGCAGAGGAGTTTCATGATGTGATTTATGATTTTAAAAGGTCCTCTGGCTGCTGGGGGGAGAAATGGCTCTACCCAAGCAGGTATAAGAGTGAAGAGGCCAGGCAGGGGAAAATGGTGGCCTGCATAGGGTGGCACAGTGGGGGTGGTCAGAGCCAGGGGACAGTTTGAAGGAGTCGCTGGTGAGTTAGGAGTGCGGCCCTCAGGAGCAACGCCCAGGCTTTGGTCGGTGCAAGTGGGTAGACCGTGGCTCTGTTTCTTGAGATGAGGAAGATGAGGGAATGAAGTACCTTTGGGTGACAGCGTGTGGGAGAGTGGTGAGGGGGAGAGTCACATATTCTGTTTCAGGCAGAGAAACCCAAATAACAGACTTACTAATCAGGGGTAGCTATTATTACTGTTTCTACCACTCACAGTTATATAATGGCATCTGCAAACACACATGCTGTCTCTTAGCTTGCGGTTCAGCCCTGTTCCTCCTGTTTTCTTCCGCTACATTTGCTACTCCTCCCGCTCCCATTCAGTTCCACACCACCGTCCAGTGATGCCAGAGGGTCTGGGGACAGGAAAGGCAGAAACAAGGACACCCAGGCAGCCTTCCCTGCTCCTCTGAGCATCGACAAACCCAGCTTGGTCAGCACCTTTATCTCACCGAAGGGATCTGGGGAATCTGGGTCAGAGGAGGCCCTGGGGTAAACCCCCAAGTGCACGCAGCGGTCTGGGCCTGGCTCCTGATCTTGCAAACCCTCTGGCTTGTGTGTCTCTTGTAGCTAGGCAGGCAGATGGGCTACCAGGCAGTTCCAGCACACGGCTGGGTGTGAGATTCAGAGATGCCGCAGTGACGATTGAGATCTCCTTGTTTTACTGAGAAGGTGACTGAGTCAAGATCTGAGTTAATGTGACCCATTTAGTTGTGCTAGCATCTTCTTCCCTCCTTCTTCCCATCCCCGCCCCCCCAGCATCACCTGTGTCAGAATAGCATTTAAAGACATTGTCAGGGAGCCAGCTGGGGAAAGCTGACTTAACTGTGTGAGACCCGCTCCCTGCAGAAGGCTGTCTGAGTCACTGGGGACCGGATGTGTCCTTTTAAAGCCACCGTATGGTCTTCTTGAGCCAGTTGCTTACAGAGGGGAGCCCTGGTGTGTGCGTGTGTTGTGGGGTCATAGGGAAGTGAACAAAGGGGTTTCCTCCTTCTGCTCTTGGGTGTTCCCTACCATCCATGGTCCTTAGAAGTGCATCAGTCCCTGGTAATGACCGCAGCAACAACAGCAAGTACTTAACTCTTATAGAGTAACTAAATGCCAGGCACTGTTGCAAGCACTTCAGGTACTCACTGAATCCTCCTAACAACCCTATAAGGTAGGCAGGTACTATTACTGTCGTTTCCATTTAACAGATGTGGAAACTGAGGCTTAGAAAGGAGAAGTAGGTCACATAGCTAAAAAGTGATAAAGCCAAATGTTCTGGCTTTGACTCCATGGTGGACAGGCGGATGGGTAGGTGGAGACAAGATCATCCATGATAAATGGAGCAGATAGAAAGTCTCAAGGAAGCTCAGTAGAGGGAAATGCTCTGCAGACTAGAGAGAGCAGGGGTTGCTTTAGTTACTATTTTGTTCTATTAAAATAAAAAGAAAATGAAATAATGTTAAACATCTTTATGCTTGTTTTAAGATATAAAAGCATTAATATATAAGCACAATCAGTTTTCTACCATGTGTGGGCACCCCTTAGGGTACAAACTATAACACAGGTGAAATAAATTATGGGCACAATCCCCACGCTCCCCAAAAAGTCCCTTCCCCAAATACCATCAGCTGTATGGTCCTAGGCAAACCACTTAAAGTTTCTGTGGTTTAAATCTCTTCTCTGCACCTATCCCATAGGCTAAACTATTAGTAATTATAATCACAGCTATAACAACTGCTATCAACCGAATATGTAGTGTGTGTCTGTACTAGGCTATGTACTTTTGTTCAGGAGCTTCTAATTCTCCTAACAAGCCCTACAGATGGGACAACTGAGGTATGCAGAGGTTATGTAACCTTCCTGAGGTCACAGGGACAGGAGGTGACAGAGCTGGTCAATAGGAGTGCTTCAAGGACAAAAACCACATATGTGCTCATTGCTTAAGTCTGTCAGGGATGGTCAGTGCCCAGAGAAGATTAAATGTTTAATGGGTAGGTACGCTTGAGCTGTGGCACAAATAAGAATTCCTCTTCCCCCCAAATTAAGTCCATGGATGAGTGTATGGGTCTGTTGGGGCTGCCATAACAAAATTCCACGGGCTGAGTGGCTTAAACAACAGACATTCATTTCCTCATAGTCCAAGAGGCTGGAAGTCCAAGCTCAAGGTGCCGTCGGGGTTGGTTTCTGGTGAGGCCTCTCTTCCTGACTTACACACGGCCGCCTTCTCACTCTGTCCTCGCATGGCCTGCCCTCTGTGCACGCACAGGGAGATCTCTGGTGTCTCTCCCTCTTCTTATAAAGACACCAGTCTTATTGGATCAGGGCCTCACACTTATGGCCTCATTTAACTTTAATCGCTTCAGTTACACTAAGGAAAGGCTCTATCTCCAAATAAAGTCACATTGTGGGTAAGGGCTTCGACACAGGAATTTTGGGGAAACATAATTCAGCCCTTAACAATGAGCTTTGAGGAATCTGGGAACCCTTAAAAATCATGTACCACATTTTGCACGGATGAGGGTTCACGTACAGCATCTGTCTGACCTCCCCAAAGGTTAAGAACCACTAAAAGTAGTGTAAGTGGACAAAGAGGGAAAGGGCTCTTGGGTAAATAGCAATAGAATTATTAAGTGTAGAAGAAAAAGAAACTCCTTCAGATATTGTTTTAATGAGCGTCAGAAAGTGGGGACCCAGAGGGGCAGTGGAAAGTAAGGATCGGGGTGTCAGCAGAGTAGAGAATGGGTCTGAGCCTAGAACAGCAGCACCCAAGCCCCAGCCCACCCGGCCTGCTATCTGTCGTCCCCCACAGAAGCCAGGGCCATCTGAGCGCGGCTCCTGGGCTGCCCCTCTGCTGACCTCAGGGGCGTTCTTTCCCTCACTTTCCTTCCAGAAGTGGAGCAGATCGAGGCTATCGCCAAGTTTGACTACGTGGGACGGTCCCCCCGTGAGCTGTCCTTCAAGAAGGGGGCCTCGCTGCTCCTGTATCACCGTGCCTCAGAGGACTGGTGGGAGGGCCGGCACAACGGCGTGGACGGACTCATCCCTCATCAGTACATAGTGGTACAGGACATGTGAGTGACAGTCGGGAGAAGAATGCCGTAATAGATTAGTGATGTCTGGAATGGGCCCTGGAAGGGAGCGCTGGGCTGTATGCCAGGGACTTGCTCTCCCCGATATCACACGCTTGTATTCTGTAAGAATGGGTTAGATCCAGCTTCCCTTTAAATGGCGATCCCCTTAGCAAATACGGAAATTGCTCATCCCCCCCAGTACACAGAGATGGTGTTTGCTGCCGCTGGCCCAGCCTCCTAACCCAGCATTCATCACCCACTGTGGCTCCCAGTGTCCAGGGGGCTTGCCACATGCCTCCACCTCCTTAGGTGCCCACCGTTCTACACGCCAGAGGGGGCTCCCTCAGGGGATCAGCAGAAACAACCGTGCCCTCATTTCCAGTTAATAGGGTACTATTTTTTTTTATATAATTTTAAGGGTTAATAACAATAAAAAAAAGAGCCCAGCATCCCCAATGCCCTAGCCCTACCACAGAAAGTCTCCACTGTCCCTTCCTTTGACAGCCGCGGAAGGTCCCTGCGCATACATTCCCTATGCGCTGCGGACAGGCTCAGCAGGACTGACTGACCACCGTAGAAGCAGCCTCCGAGCTAGACCTCAGGGGAAGGGGACTGAAAGCCTACATTTTGGTGGAGGGGGGAAGGCCCAAGCTGGAGGAAAGGCCTGGGCCAAGCCATAGTGGAGGGCCCTCGGCAGCCTCCCAGAGTCCCCAGGCCCCTGAGGGCAGGAGGAAGTCACAGAAGGGAAGGGCCATGGAAGGAAGCTGGCAGGGTGTCCCAACAGGCTTGCGAGCCACCTCACAATTGTTCCAAGCCCTGGGTTGGGAAGTGAGTGGTGGAGGTACCTTCTTCCCTCCTCGCTTAGCCCCAAACCGTTCCTCGTGGAGCCATGCCTGCATGCTCCAGCTGTCATTTCTCTGACACTCCCTCCAGCATTTAGCTTGTCCTGCCTGGAGCAGCCTGGGAGGGATCTAGTAGAGGAGGCGACAGGGGGAGGTAGGTGGGAGGCTGGGACAGAAGGGGCCTCCTGCTGTGGGAGCTGACTCCAGGAGCCTTGCTGTGGTGTGTGCAGTAGGAAGGCGCTGAGTGGGCAGGGGGCTCCTCCCGAGCTGTGGGCACAAGTTAGCTGTCACATGGGTGTTGATTCAGCCCCTCAGACAGGTGTCAAGGAGCCCTGTACACCCTGGGCTCTCTTGCAGGAGTCACCTCCAATTCATGTCTGTCTTCTCCCCAGGGACGATGCCTTCTCCGACAGCCTGAGCCAGAAGGCTGACAGCGAGGCCAGCAGCGGGCCACTGCTGGATGACAAGGCGTCCTCCAAAAATGACCTCCAGTCCCCCACAGAGCACATCTCGGATTACGGCTTTGGGGGGGTGATGGGCCGGTAGGAAACGCGGATTCATTTTTTCCTGCTAGTGCTGTGCCTGCTCGTGTCTGATGGGGGAAGCAAGGGGCCAGGGAGGAGAGACGTGGGCAGCTGCAGCCCCTGTTCCCCACGGGGTGTGACGCTGGGCACCCTGGGCAGGCCAGCTGGCATCAGTCCAAGAATGCCAGGTATGAAATGATCCAGCCTGGAGTGGCAGGGGGAGAAGGAGGAGGAAAGACATATGTTGGGAACTCAGTGTTTTTTATTTAAAACAATAATAAATGAGAGAGATGCAAATTGGCAAGGATTTTTCCTGCCTCTCTCCGGCTCCCGCACCTCCTCCCAGCTTTCTGCTGAAGACCTGAGCTGTTATATTTAAAAATTTAAAGTGCACATGCTGCCTGAAATGCACTACAGAAACAGCAGCCCCACACCTACTCATGTGTTTGGGGAAATTGACACTCGATTCCACCCACTTGTTTGGTGGGAGCAGATTTGCCAATTTCTTCACTCCCCACGTGTGGGCTGGGCTGTGTCACGTGACCTTTCTACCGGACAAGGAGCTGCACGTGTCATTCTGAGAACAGGTATATTCCAAAGTATGTGGTTGGCAAAAAAATAAATAAATGAATGAAGAAATGAGTAGAAAAGAAAAAGAAAAGCTGACAGTTTCTCACTGCTTTTTAAATCAGACTCTCAAAATGTCATATTCTATGTTTTTTTCCAGTGGAAGGGTCATGTGACAAACCCACATGTGTGGTGGGTATTTGCAGATAGAGCCAAAAAAAATCAGTCACAACGGGAACACGCTTTCATGAGTTTATTTCAGCAGATGTCCTGATTCAGCCTCTTTTCAGCAAATTCTATTCAATTCAGCAAATAGCTCAGGGCACTGTGATAGGAGGTAGAGTTGGGAAGGGTGGGGAAGTGGAAGGCTGGGGTAGGTAGACGAAAATGTCACGGTCCCCTGACTTCTAGGAGGACCGTATCCTCTACCTCTCTCCTCTCCCTTTCCCTCCCTGGTCTCTCTTCTTCCTGTTCTTCCTTTCTCAATGCTTCTTCCTCTCCAGTAGCTCTGCTCTCGTCCTCTTGGGGCACTCACAGGTGCTGCTTAGCTTGGCTGGTGGCACTAGGATCTGAAGTGCAGCTGACCACATTGAACTTGGTCCCTAGTCACAATCCGTTCCCGACACACCACCTCCCCCTACCTCCTGGCCACTTCCAGCCTTCCCTCCCCTCACTAGGTCCTCAGAATCTTTGGTGACCTCTCTAGGATGCAGCAAAATCTCCTGTGTGTAGAACCTTTTATCTTCGACGTGCTTTCGAACTCGCTTGAAGGTGGGCAAGGAATATCATGCCCATTTAACAGATGAATAAGGTGGACGTGAAAGGGGACTCAGGAAAACACGTGGCAGACTCAGGGCAAGGGCGCACCTCCTGATGTACACTCAGATCCCTCTCTCACTCCGCCGGAGCATCCCTGAGGGGGGAAAGGGGTGTTCAGTGATGCAGTGTTGACTCTTGAACGGCTCGCTTTCCAAGATCTGAAAAACCCTCGTAGAAATAGCCCTGTTCTGGAGAGATGGGGGATGGGCGAAACATGAGACTGTGTGCAGGTCCCAGGGGGCCCTTTCTTTGCTTGCAGGGTGCTAGTGACTTTGGTACAGTCAAGCCTCAATGCTTCAGACCAATTAGAAGCCCATCCATGGAAGTATGTGAAGTGCTTCAGAATGTACCACGGGCCGAACTATCACCAAAGTGTTTCCAGGTTGAAATCCTACTGGCCTTGACTTAACACGTAGACAAGGTTCATTTTGTGATTAGCACCACTACCATCTGCAGCTTGGAAGCACCAAATTCCTTTGTGGGTGCGGATTAGACCTCCCCTCTGTTGCCCAGTTATGTGCCAAGCCAGTCCTGTCATTGTGGAGTTGTGGAGTCTGGCTGAATGAGGCTTTACTGTACCTGCTCCCTAGACTAGCATGTAGTGTGTGGTGTGGGGGTTGGCAGACCCATTCTCAGACTTGCCAGGGTTGACCTCTGCCCCATGCCCTCCCCGCCCCCTGGCTCCTTTGCAGAGTGCGGTTACGATCCGACGGAGCGGCCATCCCCAGGCGCCGAAGCGGTGGCGACACACACAGCCCGCCCCGGGGCCTGGGCCCGAGCATAGACACGCCACCGCGGGCTGCCGCCTGCCCCAGCAGCCCCCACAAAATCCCCCTCACCCGGGGGAGGATCGAGAGCCCCGAGAAGCGGAGGATGGCGACGTTCGGGAGTGCCGGCAGCATCAACTACCCTGACAAGAAGGCGCTCTCCGAAGGGCACTCGATGAGGTCGACCTGCAGCTCCACCAGGCACAGCAGCCTAGGGGACCACAAGTCCCTGGAGGCTGAGGCCCTGGCAGAAGTAAGGGCCGGTGGGAAGGCAGGCTGGGCCAGCCGAGACCCCCAGAGGGGCAGCAGGGTGGGAAGCTGTGGAGTGGGGAACCACCTTGGCCCTATGCCAGGCTCAAGGCTAAGCCAGTAGACCAGAGAGGGAGCTGGCTTCCTTCCCCCAGCGGGCCTCCCGTGGGAGCAGAAGCTGGTTGGGTGCGGCCACTGGCTAGGGTTTCTGCAAAGCCTGAACCCCCTCAGTGTCCGGGACTGGAGAGGGGATTGGCCAGATTGTGGGGATGGGGTGATGGGAGGTCTCTCCACAAGATGACCTGACAGAGTTATTCATTCATTCATTCACTCATTCATTCATTCCTCTGTTCATTCATTCATGTATTCATTTATTGACAAATATGGATTGAGCATCTATTGTGTGGCAGTCACCATGCTGGGCACTGAAAGTACAATGAAGACATAAAATGGACGCAGGCCTTGCACACGTGGAGCATATAGTTTTGAGAAGAGAGAGACATGAGCCAATAAACACAGGGCTGTGAAATGGCAGTGGGGCTGGGTGCCTTTCAGGGGTGGTACACGGCATCTGGAGAGCCTAAAATGTGGGGATTGCACTTAGGCAGGGAGACCTCCCTGGGGGGAGACGGCCTGAGACCCAAAGGGTGGGAAGAACTAAATAGCTGAAGCTGGAAGGGAAGAATGTTCCAGAATCTTCCAAAGTGCTTAGAGGTTTTTTTGTTTGTTTTTATTTTTTTGTATTTGGATGAGAAATTTATATGGTTTTTACACTTGGCAAACAAACAGAACTGTGATTTGTTTAACAATTTACGTAACCGATATCATGTGTTTTTGACAGTTCTATTATATTTCCAAAAGTTTCCCTTTTTTCCTCTCTGGAATTGGGGGTGGGCCCATTATGTACCCTCTCCCCAGTGTTATCTCCCACTTAAGGTAAGGGAGACACACCAGAGCCTTCTGGGCTGTGAGAATTCTATTGTGGAGAGTGGCGTTTGAACCCCTGTTCAGCAAGGGAAGGGGAAAAGTTTGAGTGCGGGCTGTGTTCTAATGGAGGCCAGGGAGGTTCCAGGGGAGTACCCAGTACAGAAACAACTCACCTGGCAGCTAGAACTCCTGTTCACACCTGCAAGGTCTAGCTTGGCCCCATGTCCTGATGCCCACCCCAGGGGATCCCTGAAGATCGGTGCCTTGGCCTGGGTCCGGCAGAGGAAGCAAGCCACCCACTGGTCCCTCCATCCTTGTAGGAACATCACCCTGGCGGCCACCATCATCTGGAAACTTGACCAGTTTGGAAAGTTCTGCCAGTCATCATGGGGGCTGGGCTGCCTGAGGCCTGGCCCAGAGCCCTTTACATAAAGAATCAAATGCAGTCTAAGAGCACTGTTTCTGAAAGAAGGTCCCATGACAGACTAGTTCCACGGGATATTAGGAGGTGGGTGGGGGATTAGTGCTCTGTGGCCAACAAAGTTTGGAGAACGCTGCTCTGACAAAGCTGAATGGCTCATCTGCAAGACTTCTTAGAACCTTTAAATATATGGATGTGTGTTGTGTATCTGCGAGAAAGACAACAGGGTACACCCCATCTCCCAGACTTCTTTGACCTTCATTCATGGAGCATTTTGCAAGACCAGCCCAAAGAATGCACCTGGGGACTGCTGCATGCATTCTCAGTGTGCAGAGGGATCCACACACTATCTAGATGGAAAGCTGCCATTAAAAGCCAATAGGAGGCCGGG